AATTAATTTCATAAATCTGTCCACTAAAAGCGGAGAAATCGCTGAGCATATAAAGTTATAAAAGCAGCTAAAATAAAGCTGTTTTTTTATGACATGGACTAAAATAATTAATCAAGTAGGTACTTTATTTACAAGTAAGATTACAAGTGAAGATAATGATGGTGAAACTGTATAATTAACTACCCCATTCATTGCATCTACAAAAAGTCTGTCCAATCGAATTCGGACCTTTATCGGACAACTATTTCACAGTTTCCTAAATCATTCTAAACATCTTAACGTGATCCTCTCGGCATATATAACATTTAGATATAGAAAATAGAATAATTTTTAAATGTCACTATAGTGATCCACTTAATCCTTTGTTTCGAAGACTTTAAAATTTAGGAGTTATGTTTAATTCTAAACATAATGAAATCTTTTACTATAAGTACACTAACAAAATAAGAGGTTATTCAATCAGTAATTCGATACATCTTGGGCAAATATTTGAGATCTATGCTACGAGTTGTGAAGTTATATAAAAAATAGGAAACCTTTCAGTGAGTAGGTACTTGAGTTTCAGACATGTAATAGTTTTTTCCTTGTATTCAGTTATAATGTATTCAAAATAGAGTAAAGTACTCTATTAAACATCGTTTATACATGACAATGATATGTTTATCCCCGATTATAAAAACACTATTGTCACGACCTTGTGGATTTACTTAACCTAGTAATATTTATAAATATGCGTAGGTATATTAGATAGACTCCTTTCACACGTAGACGAGTATATATTTATTATTCATCTACCTGACTATTCATGTTATATACTCAATTCACTAACAGAAACCTTTGAGAGATATAAGCGGCACCTCGGTAATACTCTAAAGCCATCTGGATGTGTAACTACCGCTTTTTTCTTTTTTCTTTGGTATAGGAGAGCTAACAAGTAGACATTGTCAACTGATAGTAAGTACCTCCCGTAACCCATGTACACCTGCAACTCAAGAGAGACCTTCAAACCTTCAAGAAAAGAGCGTACTCCTTCCTCAAAGGCCGGCAACGCGTTTGTGACTCCTGAGTTGCAGTAAATGGGCAGCGGTAGTCGCTTTCCATGGGTGGTGACATGTCTGCTCGTTTGCTCTCTCTTCCATAAAAAAATTGCGCTAACGCTCTTTTAGTCCTTTCTCCAGAATGAGCCCCCTCAAGCCCCTGAAAGAGTTTGGAAAACATTGCCTAACATCAAGTTTTTGTGAGACTATGGTATGCTCTGCGTGGTATGGAAGTATGCTCTGGCTCTACTACGCACAAAGCTTTCCAAAGCTAGAAATAAAATATTTTGTTAGATGATTGAAGTTATTTTCTTTAGTTTTATCTGCAATGAGCAGAGCTTCCACCTTTAACTTTATAAGCAGCATGTATGGTTGGCATGGAATATGATTCTCATCTCTGGGCAGGGGCACCTCAATGCCAGCTTCTCTCTCTGGGCCTCTTTCAACGGACTCTTATCGTCGATAGCCATGATATTTCAGATCGGTTTAACTTCCTGGCGTTGCGTGGAGTTGTAGCTTCGCTCTACATTTTTTACCGTTTGTATCATGAGGAGTGCTCCGGGAAATAATTCGGACTTTACCAGCCACAGTTTGCCGCCATTATTCAACGCGACAAAATGGCTTCTCTCATCATTTGGATAGTCACTGGTACTCCACTTCTATACGCTTTTCAAGAAATTTTGGATTCCCACAACTAATCTGATGACTGGTCGGATGTGGTATATTCAGACAGATTCAGCCTTCAAGCTGTTGAGAAAAGAGCGTACTCTCACCTCAAAGACCGACACACTTGTGACTCTTGAATTGCAGGTGATCATTGGCAGCATTAGTCATCATCAAGTATCCCGTTTACTCGTTTACCTCCTATGATATGATAAAAGACAATCTTTGGTCGTCTGAAAGAGCCTGGTTCCATCTATTTATTTATTCATTAGGTATTTAACGTTATGATAGATAAATTTGGTAAAAAGGTTTGATTTTGTTATTGGACGCCTCCACAGGACATCTCACGGTAAGTTGAATTTAAGCTGCATTGTTGATATTCATTCATACCATGGGTGTCGTTAGAACTGACTAAGGGAGTAAACTACGGAGGACAAGAGCAATGCAAAGAGAATGGAAACTTGAAATAAACCCTATACCAACCCGTCTGGCCAGCGTGGTATAGTTGACCAAACCCTCTTTTATAAAGAGAGGCCTGTGCCCAGCAGTGGACTGTTATAGGCTGTTAATGATGATAGTAAAGACTATTTATTTTACACTGCCGGGTTACAGAAATCATAGAAACGCAAAAATATTAACATACTCAACGCATACTCGCTTCGCAACCTATAAATTGACACCACAGACTTGTTTTTTTTTCAATGTATCTCCGTGTGTAAGTTATTAAACGAACCATATACGCTGACGATGACCTTAGCAATATCATTGTATCTATTTATACAACTATAATATAAACAGGATAAATAAGATGACCGAATTACGAGTATACAAATATTGTTATCTTAATTATAAGTACAATCTAACAGAGTGAGTCAAGGAATATAAAATAATGTAGCAGTAAAATAACTTAAAAAGAAGATTTAATACCCTATCATCTATCATCAACAGCCTTTAATAGTCCACTGCTGGACATAGACATCTCTTTAGAGAGAAGGTTTTGGCTTACTATAATACCCTATGACAATAGTAAATAACAAACTGAAAGAATGCTCAAGAACAGACGTATTAAACATTTGCGTAGATTACATTCACTCAACCTTAACAAGGAGTTATGTTACGGCTTACCTGTGACGCAATCTGTGGATAAATTTCTTGTTAAAATGAAAATAAAGGAAAATACAACATTTCTTAAGGCAAGGTACGGACTCACTTACGGCTCAACCACGATGGCTGATTACGAGACTACCGCCTGCGAATAGAACCGGTAGAAATCAGATCATAACTTTCTCTCAAACAGTCTTAATTTCGGATATAATGTTACGCATTGGCAATGTTCTAGTCGGCCACTTAATACTGGATGCACCCAAAACTGCCTTTTTCTTTACCTTTTACATGAACATAAGTATTTCTTCACGACTTCCATTTCCAAACTGACGCTATACTAACCGCTGTGTCTGAATCTGATTTGCAGTCAAGCGGTTCTAGCATTTCTTAACCAACCCTAAATGAGTATAATGATCTTGTTATATTCAAAAGTCGAAAACGGTTAACCTGATCTACTTACCACAAAAATTAAAATGAGAAGAGAGCAAATTCATAAGTAATAATTCATAACTTTCTCAATTAGTATTGCACCAAATTATATTGTTAATACAGAATATCAAACTGGATTTCACCCACAACTCTATTTACAACAAACCTATTAAAATACCAGTGGGGTTTTTACCGCAGGGGACAAGTACATGCTACTACAGGCGACAAGTCGCTAGAGGACACTGTCTAGTGATCTCAATCGTTAGCTACCCGTTATTTCAGAATTCTGGGGATCAAGGCATCTATCTATATTAAAACCATTTAATACTCATACATCAGTTTTTAAAACCGTTTACAAAACAATTCTAGAAAATTCTATCTATTCTTTTGTAACGCGTTTTTATAGCGGAAAATGCGCCCCAGCGGACGGTTTTTCAACAACGCCTGTGATGGATAGACTGCCTTTATGGTGCAGTCCTTGTTTCCCGTAAATACAATAAATGTATGTGTGTAGGTATGTAAAACCTCTATAATTTATTACCCTCCCATAAATGCACCTACCCCATTCTTTTTCAGCATCGCCCAATCAGTCGACTGGCAGAGAATGCCTTAGGCATTAAGTCCGCCGGTGAATCTATTTGTGCAAAAGTTATAAAATAAAAAAAGTCAAGATTTAATCAACATTTTATTTAACCCTTATTTCCGTTCACGAAACAAAGTAATTCTCAAAATAAATTGACTATAATAAAAAAAATAAACAAACTGAGTTAATTAAGACAACAGTTACAAAATACAAGGTACATCACTATGGCCATTGGGGCAAGGAAACGGTGAGATTTGAGACTTATTTACACTACAAATTTACATTATATAACATGAAAGTAGCACCCTGAAAGGAAATAAATACTTATGACAACACTTAGAAAACTATTATGATAAAAATGTTAAACTGTATTATACTAACATACATTTTCTAAAGCTTTCCAAATTTGGGCAGTTGGTTATAGTTGATATTAATGTTTATTTTTTAACATTATTCCAATTTTTATAACGAATCTACATCACTAGTTTATGACTCAAATGTGTTCATAAAACTCTCTTGAGTTATAACTTGAGTGATGTACATTCGTCGTAAAACGCAGTACGCACAAGCACAAACCTGTGATCTAAAAATTTAGTAGTCGTTAAAACTACTATGATTATTTCAGGAATGTACATTTGTCAGAGATGCCCCATGATTTTATTCATATGACTCCAAATTGCGCCAACATTACATATTAATTTTTCTTCCTTTACATAAATTTCATCTTTAACAACCAATATTTTAATAAACCAATTATTTTTTATATTAAACGTTATAATAACGATATAACAATAGAAACAAATCGCGTTGTACTTTGGATTTGCGACCTATTATCATAAGTTATGGAATAAAATTTAAAATATTATTTTAACGTAACGCAAAGAAATAAATATATGGCTAGCTTACACCATTGTTACGATTTTAAAAGACAAAATTCCTTATTCTGTGTTCCTTCTTCAGAAATTATTTTATAACTTTGAAAGTCCATAACACTGAATCGTCTCTCAGTCTCCTAACGTGGACATACACGTTTACAAATTTTATTTTCAATTGTTCTTTATATTGTCATATTTGAAACATTTAAAATTTTATTGCTTTAACGGTTTCACTTTTATTTATTTCTTATAATTTTATATAAAATACCTATTACGGAATAAAATGTAGGCTTTGTTTTGTTTATATCCTCACGATTTAGAAGGTCTAGAAGCGAATTCTGGAGTGCTTGTGCATAACACGGTGAGGACCCAGAAATGAAGACAGACCTGGCAACAAAAAAATTATTGTTATCTGAAATTAGTTTTAGGCCAAAACCTCATTTTAGAGGAGGGGCCTATGTCCAGCAGTGGGCTGTCATAGGCTGTTGATGTGAAATAAGTTTTTACTTTGCTGTACATGTATATGTGGCGCATTTTGTACACAATTCCTATTGTATCTATCCATTATGTATTTTTCTTCAGTCATTAAGGTGAAGTCAAGCCAACAGTCAGTCAATTATAATTAAGGGTTAAACGCTCGCCCTGGGGACAATACTATTACTATGAACATCGCATGTCATCATAAAAAAAAAATGTTTTTTCCTCAATTTTATTTCCGTCAGCACAATGTCAAACATTGCAATGAGTTTTGCCTGGTTTCATTTTTGAACGACGGCCAGTCTGACACCAATCCTCCTTGAGCATAGTTGAAAGCAAGTATGAAGATATAGATATACGCAATAAGAGATGCCTATGCAGAGCAGTGAACTGCGATAGGCTAATGATAATGATGAAGGAAGGAAGAAAGTTAATTGTAAAGGCAAATAGAAAGTCTATTATATTCTTTCTTTATTTACAAATTTAAGCACTTATAGACATCGGCGGACTTAATGCATTCTCTACCTGGCTGGTAGAGAATGCATTAAGTCCGCCGATAGAAATCTAATAAGGTAGATGCATTGAGGTTATATTTGCAATAGTAGTTATAAACTTTTAACTATAGTTCATCTAATGTAAGAGGGACCGTTTGACCTTTCATACTTTTCTAGCCGAAACAACTTTGTATTGGCGTGACTCACACAATTAAAATTAACCTTTAAACCGTGGAATTATGAAGCTGTTTGTACTTTATTATAAAATGTAGTTGTTATTGACTAAATTTCAATGTAAATCTTTTAAACAAAGTAAAATAACAGAAATATATTTTTTTTAGACTTCGTTTCAAAGTCACGTAGTTAGGTCCTTTACCGTAGTGTTGTGCCTTTTCAAATTAGCATTTCTGTACATTCGCACAATTATCATTTTTTATTTTACGTTACGTATTTGTTGTTTGTTGTTGTTACTTCTGGTACTTACGAGGGGTGATCAATAAGTAATGATAATCAATATGAAACAGAAGTATTAGATTAAAAAAAGTATTTTATTTTTCAACATAGTCTCCTTGCAAGTTAATACATTTAGTGTATCTTTTTTCTAAGCCCATGATTCCCTTAGAAAAAAATTCTTTGTCTTGACCCTCCCAAAATGCCTCTACTGCGGCCATCACTTCACTATTGTCCTCAAATTTGTTGCCCCGGAGGTGTTCTTTGAGCCGAGGAAAGAGGTAGAAGTCACTGGGAGCTAGATCTGGCGAATAGGGAGGGTGTTCGAGCAGTTCGAACCCCGTTTCTTCAATGGCAGCCATCGCAACTGCGGCTTTGTGAGCCGGGGCGTTGTCTTGGTGAAACAGCACTCCAGCGCGCAGTTTACCGCGTCTTTTTGACTTAATAGCTTCTCGCAATCTTCTTATTTGGCCTGCGTAGTAAGAGCCTGTTATAGTGGCCCCCTTTTCCAAATATTCCACCATAATAATTCCTTCTGCATCCCAGAAAACAGACGCCATAACCTTTCCCTGAACTTGACACTTTGAATTTCTTCGGCGTTGGTGAGGAAGCTCGTTTCCAAGTCATTGATTGTTGTTTGGTTTCGGGATCAAAGTGGTGGATCCAGGTCTCGTCCATGGTCACAAAACGCGACAAAAAAAATTCTTTATCGGCCTGGAACTTTTGAAGATTCACCCTCGAAATGTCGACTCGTTTCTTTTTTTGCTCGTCGGTTAACATTCTCGGTACCCAACGCGCAGAGACTTTTTTCATATGCATTTTGTTGACAATGATTTTTTGAACGCTGCCATAGGAGATCCCTGTGACCTCAGCTACATGCCTTACGGTCACCCTTCGATCGGCCAACACGATATCTTCCACTTTTTTGACGTTTTCTCCAGTAAGGGACGTGGAAGGGCGTCCCTCGCGATGTTCATCTTCAGTGGAGGTTCTGCCCAGCTTAAATTCCTTTGCCCAGCGTGCGACTGTGGAATATGGAGGAGCAGACTCCCCCAATGTTTCCTCTAAGTCACTGTGTATGTCTTTGGTAGACATTTTTTTCAGGCAGAGGTACTTGATGACAGCTCTTATTTCATTTTTCTCCATTTTGATATTTTCTCTTCGACAGTTCGTATTCAAATGAATGTATCTCCCGGTAATGGTGTCCTATTTATACATTTTTTTGAAGCTGAAGTAGTGGATATATAAGCAAGCAGAAAAAAAATAATTTGGGTTTTTGTGCGTTCTAGAAATACTCGATTATCATTACTTATTGATCACCCCTCGTATAGCACAGGATATCCTATTTTAAGTACCAGCAGAACACTAGAATTAAGATTTTTTTGTACCTCTATTGAGAATTCTACTACTATGTACCTACTTGTATATTGTGCCAATAAAGAAATTTATTTTATTTATTTATTCAGTTTTTGTGATAAGCTTCATCACGTATTGTATATCACACACACGGCCCTGTTTCCAAACTAGGCAAAGCCTGTACTATATTAACCAGACTGCTGATAAACATACTTATATATTTTTAAATACATACATAATATAGATTGATTACACCCAGACACAGAACAAATTACCGTACTCATCACACAATATTTGTTCTGGGTGGGAATCCAACCCGCGACCTCCGGCTTAGCAGTCACGGTCACTAATTACTAGACCAACAGGCGCGTCACAATTTTTTTTTATAAAGAATTTGTAACAACATCAGAGTATTATAAATAGCTTTTGTAATCTAAATGTAATATAGTCAGGTTCTATCCAATTGCTGCGTTACGCAAGTGTTATATTTAATGTTTTATTACATACTTATGTTTACTAGCATAGTGGATTTACAGGAAGACTTTGTTCTTATGAATTCATCATGCGAGTACCGAAAGTTAAGACTATTGTACGGACTATTTTCTTTGGATCTTTTTCTGGGATATAACTGATCCTGTCAAACATCATTTTGATATATTATGTGAGTTATATGTATTTGCCATAATAAAAACAATATTATCCGCACTTACCATATAAGCAATAACAAACACCCTCAACACAGGGTACCGCTTGACCATGACGCCGAGCCGGACTGAGAGTGCGGACAGTGTGTCCGTGGTCATATTGGACCGGGAGCGATGCCGACACTCATCTTGTAGGTGGACCACGCTGTGAGATGAATTCGACCGGACCGCTGATATTTCTTTTTTATATTTTGTCTGCAAACATATAATTGTCGATTACATGATCATGTCATTCCCTATTTCGATCTCGTCATGGTTATTTCTTTTACACACGTTTTTTAGGCATCTGAGTCACAACGCCATCTAGTTTCAAACTAAGCAGAGCTTGTACTATGAAAACTAGATTGACTGATAGAATACTCATATACTTTTTTTTTGTTAATGCATACATGTTATACACAGAAAACATCCGAAACAAATATTTGCAGATCATACAAACATTTGGTCCAACCCGGGAATCAAACCCGAGACCTCAGCACAGCAGTCGCATACGCTACCACTGCGCCACCGAGGCAGTCAAAACGGCTTGAAGGACTTTAGCTTGGAAGGTGTCGTAAGATTCGTCTTAATTCTGAGAGTGACACCCAGTGTCTGAGAATATAAAAATTAAAAATTAGATATATATAAAAAAGAAGAAAACATAGGTTTGTAAATTTTAAGTAACTATACACTTTCACGCAGTCGGGCATGTTACTTCTCTGTATTCTTCATTATTTATATATTAATTACTGTCGGGTTGAAAGCTCTATGATTGGCCATAATAATTACTTCTACATTAAAAGGATTGTAGCTTATCTTTGAATTTGAATTAATAATAATCGAATAATAACCATAGTGATATCAAGCATTGATCAATCTACATAGGTAATGAACTCGTTTCCTTACCTCTAACTTTTCTAACTGTATTTTCAGGATATTATTATCAGCTAACAATTTGTCTATCTTCGACTGTCTCAAGACAAGCGCCTGTGTCAAGTACTCTATCTTGTTACTGTCTATGGTATCCTGTTTTATGTCATAGTCGGCTACATTTAACGCACTCGTGTCTGTGCTGCGGACGGTGGAGGACGTATCCCGAAGCCGGTGTAATTCATTATCTTTATCTCGTAAAGCCATCCGTAAGCTGGCTATTGTCTGGCCTGTTTCTATTTGTAAAGATTTCAAGTCCTGCAAACAAAAAAGTTTGAGCAGTGATTGAAATGATTTTTTTTTTAAGTATTTTTTAACTTTTGTTTTATTCGCCCTTTTAGATAAAACGTATTGTAAAGGTCTCCAAAAATAAAGAAGTAAACAGAATATCTTAGAGGATTTTTTTGAGAAGACAATAACGATGAAAGTTGAAAAAAAAATAGCAGACTTACATGTAAACGAAGGCGAAAAGCAAGCTATGATACTAAAAACTTTTTTATTGAATCTTGTAGTTTTAATTATCTACCTCATTTAACGGTATGCGTCGAGGTTTATAGTATTAGTGGAAATTCCCACTACAAAATTTAAATGTCAGTTGTACCTACCGCATTAGAAACACGTCCGATTTCTCCACTCTGTTTAAATACTTAACTCCAATAGTCGATGTAAAAGCAATTAAAATCGACTAATGTGACCGTGGAATGTTGTACAGAAACACTATTACTACTATTATTGCTAATTCGTGTGATTTATCGACATTATCGACAAGTTTGCAAGACCGGTACCTTGGTGACAGAGGCCCACTGAGCATCGGCCCTGTTCCGCGCCGTCCGCTCTTCGCGCAACGCGTCCCTTAACGCGCACACCACTCGCTCGGCCGCGGTGTGTCGCGCCTCCACCTGCCCCATGTATGATTTCAAGTCTTCGCATTCGTTTCGCATCGCTGTTGTCACTTCCGAAAGCTCGTCACGCTCCTCCCTGATTTATGTGAACGAATTTTAAACTTTTATTTGTTGTGCCCGTTTATCAGATTTCCAAATTTAAATAAAATGTATAATGGAGAGTTTTCTTATTTTATTTTTTATTTATTTAATATAAATGCACATGTATATATTATAGTTATGACATATTTATACCGCTAGGTAGCCATTAAATATACGTAATACACGAAATATGTTTTTTATTCTATTATAGTTTTATATTTATGACGTGAATAAATTATACATAATTATAATAAAACAAAAAATGAGTTCTAAAATCATTCAGTTATCCGGATTATTCAGTTATCAGGTTAATTGGGTTGCATGCCCCAGCAAATATCTGTTTCTTTTTTCGTTTATAGTTATAATAATAATAACTTCACAAATCTCAAACACGGCTGTCTGATTCCAAACTCGGCAGAGCCTGTACTATGGTAACCAGACTGCTGATAAACATACTTATTTATTTCTTTTATAGTTACTTAATTAAACTGGAGATTTGTAGAAAGTACACTTATAATTAGACTATTTAAGTCTAAAAGAGCCAATAAGTGTAGGCAGATAGGGTAGGATAGATAGTATTGCACATACATATCAATTTACATTAAAGCCTGGTATACTTTGCCAAATGTGGAATGGACTTACTTTAAAGCTTGTATTTGATGCATCAATTCCTTTGTGTCCACAGTTACTTCCATTCCCTCTTGGAGTGACTTTATTACATTGTCTTTACTGAGTAACATGTTTTTCACTCTCACTTTGTAAGCTTCCCAGTCCCTCTCTAATCGTCTGCATTCTTCATTACTCTTTTCTAAATTGCTTTGAAGATTCGAAATAGTAGATTGTGCATGTCTTAAGTCATTCTCTAACTTTATTTGTGCTATTTCCTTTTCATTTAACTTGTGACGTAGTTCTGTACACCTTGAATATATAAGGTTAATTATTAAAATAATCATTGAAGAAGGCATGTTTGGGAAAGAAGACAGTTCTTTAAATTTATAGAACTTCGGCATAACGCTGATGATTATAAAATCGTTTTAAAATGTTTTAAAACTTACTTTTCGTCTGAATCTGCTGTCTTAATCCTTAATAATTCAATTTCTTCCTGCAAACCCTTGTTAAGCTCTTTTTGTTTGGTCACTTCTGTATTAGTATTCTCTGTCAGTTTGAGTTTTAGCTGCTCCACCTGAGCAGACAGGGCCTCTTTCTCTGTATTAATTTTTTGGTACATTAAATCAGCTGTCTCTAATTTGATTTGAGTTTTTGCTGCATCTATAAGAAAAGGATATTTTGATTAGTTTCACATTTTCAAACCTTAATACAAAGATTGAATTATTTAAACATTATTTGAAGTTTAATTACATTCATGTTTATTCAAACACAATGGTATGTATGTGACAGAAACAATGCAAACTCCAAGCTCAAGTAAATGTTATCTACCTTGACTATCTACATTATTACCGTCTTGAGTCATGCGCAGCTTAGTTGCCAATTCTGACACCTCTCTGTTCATCACATTTAGTTCATTCCTTAGCATTGCATTTTCTACTTCCATGTTTTGCATTTGATACATAAGGTCGTCATCCCCGCTGTATACTTCCAGATCCGCTGGCAAACTAAGCCCTGGAAAAATGGTTCTGTTTAGAGCACAAATAAGTTAGTCCATATTCAATACTGAACCGGTTAGAAAAAGTTTTTGCTACAAAACCACCTCAAATTTCATAATAATATTTTCTTTTTATGTGCATACAAAAATTAATTGTTTGTATTTTTCTGCTGTATCATTCTTCTGATCATTTTGTCATATTGCATACATGTAAGGTACTTAATGTCTAGGAAAAATAGGGAAAAAGGACTTTTTCTATATATTTTTTTCAGATTTGCTTATGCTAACAAATCAGAGAACCAATCACTTAAAGTATTATTTAAAGTATTATGTTAAAAGAATGTTTCAAAAGGTTAATAATGAAATTCACTGTTTAATCAACAATAGTGCTGATAAATATTCTGTACAGACTACAGTGCAGTTATCTGAGCCAGGCCATGATGTTAACATCAGTTTTCTCCGTGCAGAACTTTAAACTATGGAAAGCTTATTTATTTATTTTGTGTTTCCAGTTTAGTTTAGTGATAAATAGCTGCCCCACCCGATAGTTTAAAAAAAACAGGCCACACTCTAAGGAATAAGAAAATAGTAAAAAATACTTGTTCTTAACAATAAATTACCCATTACCCAGTTTAAGTTTGGAGATGGCCAAGCAGTCATATTTTGACCGTTTTCAATGACTTGCTGAATTTCAGTGACCAGTATAACTTGAACTTTCACTATACAGACTTTTTTACCTTAGAAGGTCAAAGTTTATACTGGACCAGATCTAGTCATTTTTAAATATTTATTTTCCAATTGTATAGCAAATACTGTTTATTTTATTTCAGCTTTGTGCACTTTTTATGCATATAAACATTAAATTTAACATTCTGAATATGATGTGGTTTTGTTGGCTATAAGTTTTTACAAGCAGGTACAGAGAACTTTCTTCCTGTGTTGATATTCTTTCTTTCTTTTCTTTTTTAAAAAGACAACTCCTGCACTTGGAATAGATCCTGTGTCACAGGGGACTTTACAGACATAAATGAAATTGACACAAATTCCTAGACTCAGAACAACGATTTGTGAGTCACACAAAGTGTTGTCCCATGTGGGGCTTGAACCTACAACACTCAGCACAGTGGGAAGCGGTGAAATAACCAATAAAACCACTATGCCATCCATGTATTATATAAATAGTAGTTATAGGCAACATATAAATGAGTTTTAGTAAGTTTAATACAAAAAGGTCTCATCATATAAACAGCTCTGATATTTTAATACAATATGTAAATAAATCGGAAATACTTACTCCTCTGTTTAATAGTACGAGGTTTATCTTTATGATCAGCAACTAGTGTGTTGGGGCATTGATTCATGGTATATTGTGGGCTTGATTTTCTTGACGCAGATTTTTTAGGTTTTAGATTTTTTACATCCTGATTATCTCTTGAGGGTGATCGAGACTGATGATTGGATAAGGGCGAACTCTTTCTTGAAGGTATTGAACTCTTGTTTTCCGTATTAATTTTTTTCAAGGTACGTGGTGGTAGCCGCTTCCTTTGCCCCCAAGTTGATTCAGTTTGTTGTGCCACAGTAAATTCGTTTTTCTCCCATTTTTTTTTCGTAACATTATGATTACGCAATGCAGCACCGGTTTGCTCATCTAAACTATTAAGGAGATTTTCAGCTCTCCCGGCTAGGTCTGCAAACCATGCCATCGTATTTATTTATATTCTAAAAACAAAAGTATAAGTGGTAGATCATTATACGCTCACAGAGCTATCACAGGTCACAATGTTGACATAAACGGAATATAAAACACATTGCAAGTACCAATCATAGGAAATTTGAAATTTATTTCTAATTTCAGTTTTAGTTTCTAAACATTCATTTCAATTTATTTTTTAGTCAAATCAAAACATCACGACACGTAAACAATAGCAACCGTCAATGACAATTGACAACTAGAGATTGCAACACGGTTAAGTGTTAATAGCGAATCGATTTCACAATTAAAATTTATTTTAAAAAATCTGCAACAGTTGCTTAGCCTGAAACTACCTACGGATCCACGAATGGAGTTCAGTGAATACTCGGGTCGAGCGTTTTTAGTTTGTTACTGAAAATTATCTTAATATTTGAATGTAATGAAAAAATTGAGCCGCGAACTCAGAACTTGTTTTTCAGATTAATTAGATAGTATCTTTTCATTAACTCAATGAATAACGATTACTAAAAAGGAAGTCTAAGCATACATGTCACATGCCTATAGTTCTTTTATGTGACAGTAAGTTTTGTAGAATTATCAAATAATCATAAACAATAATTAAAATCATTAAAATATTGCAGCAGTGTTATCTATAATATTTATTCGTAATGGATTTTGAAAGTCCTGATGTAGAGAAGGATTTCCCAGGCTTATATGCATCTGAGAGTGGCAGAAAAAGCAATGAAAGCGATTGTAAGACTTTTGTGTTGTATTATTATGATATTTAAAGTAGTTTTCGTTACGAATTGTATCTATATTGATAAGAATATTAAGAATGTCAAAGCTAAAAATTCAGCAAACACTTTGAGTCTGAAACCAATTAGATTTCTCATTATTTCAGTCCAGGAGTTAGTAGATTTCATCTGTTTTTAATTTTTCCTTTGCTTACATTATAACTGGTACTTAGTATTACCGGAAGATAGAACAGTCTTCTATCGTGTCATTCTATTCATCTGGATGCAACATTACTCGATTTGAAGTTTTTGTGGGATGGGATTTAGAAATAACTCTAATAATCTAATTTCAAAGGTAACCACTTTAACCACACTAACACACCAACTGCTTTATCAAATGTAAACAAACTATTTGAACTGATATATGTTAACTACCAACCATGCCCATACATATCTATGAAATGTAGATAAAACAGTATCGTCTTGGTAAATATTTTTCTTATTTACCTAAAGTTATATTTATTAAGCATAATTTTCAAATTAATCTGTCCTGAATAATAACATTTCGGACATCTAACATTAATGCCATACAGTTTGAAACTAGGCACAGCTTGAACTATGAAAGCTAGATTGACTGATAGAATACATATACTTTTTTTTATAAATACATGCATATTATACATAGAAAACACTGAAACACCTAAACAAATGTTTGTAGATCATACAAACATTTGATCTGACCCAGGTTAAAAACCTGAGACCACCGAGGCAGTCAATAAGGCATATACAAAGACATATAGTTAGTGTCTTGCTAAATGTTTGTGTATTAGATCACAATGATACTCTGCCTTTTAATATAATAACCATTGGAATTTTAATAAACTAATAAAGCCTCAGTATAAAAACCTTTTTTTAAAGTTGTATTACCCTTTATTATCTGTTATGATTTTATGACATCATATGTTTCTTATTTTGTAGTCAGTGATGGGGCTGAACATGAGAAGCCAAGTAAAAAAGACTTATTAGGAAGACGGAAAGATAAAAAAGAGTCCAAAAAAGATAGAGGTTATGCTGCACTTGAAGGAGAAAGCTCACCAGAAGAGGACACAGATACTAAGTTAGTATTTTATCATAGTACTAGCTGTACCCTGCTGAGATTTGCTGTGGCACATATATAGTACCTGGATGACCAAGCTTTGCTCGTTTTTTTTTTTTTGGTAAATTTTCTAAAAATGAAACCTAGCTTAATCAATTAAATTATCCTCCTCAAAACCCCCTGCATACTAAATTTCATGAAGATCATTGGAGCCGTTTCCGAGATTTTGATTATATGTATATAAATATATATACATATAAGAATTCTTCGTTTAAAGGTATTAAATAAGTGTGTATGCATGTATACGATATACGATATTAAATAAGTGTGTATATCATGGCAAATTTTGCCATGATATACACACTTATTTAATATCGTATATCGTAGCATTATGTAATATAGCATATAGATTCCCTCTATAAATGGACTATCCAACATTAAAAGATCAATTTGAACCAGTAGCCTAAAACCAAAAGCGCAAATTCTCCAGCTTTGTAATAATATAGATATTATATCTGTGCTCATAACAAATAGTTTCAAACTCTGATTTAAAAATTATTAAATTAATAAGAAAATATTATTATTTAATTGTGTTTATTTTAAACATTATATAAATAAAACATATTTTGATAGAAGTCCATCAAAATCAAAAAAGACTAAATCCTTCAAGTTCCCAACAAAGAGTAAGGAGAAGCGTGAGAAATCTCGTGATAAAGAAAAAGTCCTGGAAGACGCGATAAAACAAAAAGAACTGAGTGAAAAAGAAAAAAAGAAAGAAAGAGAGAGGGAGAAGGAGAGGGAAAAGGAGCGTGAGAAAGAAAAAAAAGAAAAAGAAAAGCGAGAGAAGCTGCGCGAAAAAGACAAGATAAAGGTTAGTGTGTGATTTCCTTTATTCGATTGTTTATCCAGTTCGGCAAGTATAGAATTTAAAGGCCAGTATACCTATATACAGAAATCTATATAAAGAATTCGCTTATCTTTACATAATAAAAATTGAAGTCGCTTCCCGTACCTGTATCTTTATCTATTCTCTATCTTTCAAACTGCGCAATGAATTTTAGTGCAGTTTTCATCAATAGAGAGATTGATATAAGGGGAAGATTTGTGTGTATAAAACATGCATATTATTATATTGCACCCGTGCGAAGCTGCGGGGGGTCGCTAGTAGTACAATGAAATACAGCATCAATTATACTGTAAATTTGTAGGTACAAATGAATGTAACATTCAAGCCCGTATAGATAATGATTATAATCACGTGATTATGGAGTAGCATTCACAGACGCGATGCGCCTAAAATAAGAGTTGGACAATTTATACAGCCTTGACTAAGACGATAAATAACAAAAAAAGAAGAAATTATAAATATAAACTCGTGCCTATTATTCGTCATTGACCTAATAAGGAGGACGGGTGGGGGGTTGTTAGAATGCTAACAGAAGCTATATGATGATACTGAATGAATGACTATATAAATAACTAGCTGACCGTGCAAACGTTGTTTTGCTGTTTACATTATTTAAAAAAATATATATTTTTTTTAATTTCTTAAAATCCGTTCTTAGCTGACCTCTACACGGTGAAAAGAATATTCCTACCAAATTTCAAGTCTTTAGCTCTAATGGTTCCAGAGATATCGTGATGAGTGACTATATACGTGGAAATCTCTTATATATATATATTTATAGATTATGTTCTTACTTTGTATATAATTTTATCTGTTTAATTCTTCATCATCATCTTGGCCGAGAGACGTCCACTGCTGGACATAGGCCTCCCCCTTGAAATTAACACAGTAAATGACACAGAAGTCAATATTTTTTTATTTTGCCTCTACGAAATATGCATAAAATAGGAATAAGATCAGGTACTAGGAAGAAGTCACATACTAGGAAGAAGGTCAGAATACATATTCAAAATCCCCATTTCAAAATACTATATCCAATAAATATTACTTTTTAATTTAACACTAACACTTTTGTAAGGCTAGTCCGTTTTATGTATTTGCGCTCTCCTGTAAAATTTGTTAAAAAGCACTTACTGGGTTTTGATTTGGAGCAGCCATAGAGTCGGTCGTCACGTGGTAGGTGAGATGGCAGATGTTTCAGATTGAATGCGTCTACTGTAAAGCTCGCTCATTTTTTAGGTATGTTACATCTAAGGGTGTCAGTTTATTTCACATCAACTCACTTTAGACGGCGAGCGCGTTTGGCGTTGCGATTGGTGAAGATTTCAGTGCGGGCTAATCGCAACGCCGAACGCGTTCACGTCACGTTCACGCGTTCACGTGACGATCGAGTTGATGTGAAATAAACTCACGCTAGGCCCTCTTGTATAGGTAGATTACACGAGAAAATATACTACACACGATGTCGATACGGCTACTATTTAATTTGCGGAATAGTATGCTCTACCATTGCCGTTCCAATTTCTATTTTTAACTTACTTTTATGTCTATCTGGCGAAACATGTGTTTTTACTGGATTTGAAATCAGTTACATTACTAGACTAGTCTTCACAGATGTTGTAATTTTTATCCTCAAACATAAATAACTGTCAAAGTGTTACAATTATTCCTAAATCACAATATATGCATATACTTCTCGATCGCGATGCGTAACTAATTCACCCATTTAGATTCCGATTGAATAGCGATATCGGGATCAAAAGTGAACGACTTAATAAAAGCAGTATAGCAGGGCCTCAATTCTGCTATTTTATATTAACGCCAAGCCACTGTCATTCCATTGACACGCTATTGAGATGCCATTGAGACGCCATTTCATCTGTCAAAATATAAGTATTCTACTAACATCAATTCAGTGTCAATAGACTGTCGATATAGTAATATAGGTCATCAACGGTGATATCAACAATTCTTACAAATTTAAAATGTACCGTTTTCCAAACTATTACAAAGACATCGACGACATTTGTATCAGTGACAAGTCATCGGCCATTGGTCTTACATAGTTAGTAGAATAGGAAAAGTGCAAAACTATTCCGACGACATTCCATCGACAGTCTATTGATACAATATTAAAATAGCAGAATTGAGGCCCTGTTTCATTGTTTATTGATTAGCCGATCTGCCTCGGCTTCATTGTCTGCCAAGATACGGCCGCTCTATTTTTATAGAGCTTTATAAAGCTTCAAATATTAATAAAAATTAAAATTCCATCTTATTTAAAAAAATGAAATGTGACATGTGTCACAAATGTAATGCGACATTATTCTTAATATTATTAAAATATAATTCAAATAATTTACATGTACATAATCAACATCGATTATAAAACTAGTTAGTTGGGTTCCAATATCATGGTACAAATGTCATTATATCTTTATTTAATATCATAATATGATTGACTAATTTTCACAAACAGCGGTCATTGTAATTTAACTATAATAATTAGATAGATATAGCTATGTGTAGCTTCGCGGACTGTTTTTGAAAATGAAATACAGCCTATGTTATTGGCTGACAGTGTTTCAAAAAGAATTTCTGAAATCGTTTAAGTACTTACAAAACATTTCTCACATTAGTGAAGGTTGTTAAAAGTTTTTTTGCATTCATTTAACTTCATAAAATTTATACAAATAAATAAAATTAAAGTGTCTGTTTGTAATATCAAAGTGAAAGGGTTTTTCATGCTCACACGGGTATTTGCACGATACCTATGTCTAAAAACCAGTTTAAATATTTTTGTCTGTCTGTCTGTTTGTTCCAAACGGCTAAACCGAAATTGATAATATTTTACTGCTACTTTTATATAAGGAGCAACTTAGGCTGTTTTTCCTCTCAGAAAAACCCTGCAAAATTTTGGCCGAAAGCAAATCGAACCCGGGAACTCGTGGGCAGTAATCGCGTACGGACCCGTACTACACCACTAAGACTTTTCAAATTCCACGTAAACCAGCTAGTTAAAAATAATTCTAAAGAACATTTGTACCACAATGTAATGGGACATACTCAATTTCGTTACGTACACTAGCTGTAATTGAATGTCCGAACGGAAGTAGATCGTAATATTGCATGACCTGGGAATTGAACTCAGGATGTTGAGCTCGCCTCAGCTCAGGAATATATGTACCAATAGAGATAGTGTTTTTATACTAAAAAAGAATCCATTGTTACTTAGCTGGCTGCTACCGACTCTTTATAAATCCTTTTATTGGTTCCTTATCGCGCGTTTCACACTCTGAGGGGATGGGAACGAGACCAAAAAATGTGTAAATAGACTTTTTCCGACACTTCTTGTTATACTCCTAGTCAGCGCCGTGTGTGAACTATATACATCGTCGCACACAGCTCTCCTGCGCGCCGAAATAACTTAATTATCCCATATCATTCAGTATTTAATTTATCATTATTTATTTATACATAATAAATATATCGCAGTCCCCGACGAACAAAATCGTAATAGGAAAATGACAATTTTACAGGAGCAAATAAAAACTGAATATCTTGAATACTATCAAGACTAAAAAGAAGATTCTTTTATCAAAAATAAGGGAATATTTTTTTGCACTAGATTTTTACTAAATTTTTATCATAAATTTTCTTTATCAGTAAGAAAATTGTGAAAATGTCCATTACTGAAATAAGCTATGGAAAAAATTAACGCAAACTAACTTTACGATAGTGTTCGACTGTAACCACAAATCGGTGTTGCTGTAGTAATCGTTCATTATGATATTGTTCCATGGTAAATATGAATATACTTTATATTCGTAAAATGACATTGCAATCGTATTCGATGATATAACTGACTTTAATATTACGGTAAACACAAATTACATGCTTATTCGATGATCATTTTTAGGTGTTATAACCATTTCGGTACCTATGTATAAATTCTGATTCTGATTCTGTCATTTTTCCCTCGAACAATATGGTAATAGCCGCTTACTCTAAAATGTTGACTTTTGAGATTTGGTAATAGGTTTTTGCGTTATTGATCGTGTAAATTATTCACTTATGATATACGTTGAACAAAAACATAAAGATCATTATTGAATGGATAAATCCAAAAGTATTCATCGCCCGATCATAAAAAAAACTCAATGATTGTAATAGGGTGTGTAGATAACGAATATCTAATAAACCCGATTCTATCGTAATAGCGATTACCATAGTGTTCGTCGGGATAGAAATAAGGAATGCAAAACGAATGACAAAACAAGTACATTAAGCAAAATGTTAACGGTTAGTCAAGTATGGGTCGACCACGCAAAATAATAAACTTGTCACAATATTTTACAAAAAAACAACAAATAGGGTTATAAATCTCATTAAATTTGACTGCAGCATGTAAACTGCCAATAATAATCTCTAAAACGTCGCAAAAAGGAATAAGCAAAAGGTGTGACGGCACAATTACAAAACATGTAGGTATTGTCAAAGCAACCTTGCCATCGTTGCATTCGAAATGTCAAATAGAATACAATCTGATTACTCTAGCCGCGTTCCAATAACTTAAAAAAAAAGAACTTGCATAAGCAAGTTTTGTTCATAATATTTTTTCTGTCACGTTAAATTTTCCCGGTTCAGCGGTTGATACGTTTTGCATAATTTCGCTGTTCAGTAGGTGTATGGCCTTGGATAAACACAGAGAACGGCCATGGTTTATTCAGTTGGATCTCGAGTCCGCGTCATGCATCACCTACGCAGTGTTTTCGCGAAGGTGGTGAACTTTTTCGTGTTTTTTTTTCTTATCAAATATTATCTAATCAAATATTAGTAGTAGGAATATTGCAAAGTTTAAAAAATATAAAGTGTTGTGTAAAATAGGTCATGGTAGCTATTATTGTAACTAGATATTCAAAGTGATTTCTAATCATAGTTTTAGGGTTTTACTCGTATTTAAAGTATAATTATTGTACGAGAGATAAAAAATATTTAAAATACTGACATTGTACCCGGTGTCTCGGTTTACGACAGCGTTTAACAGAAAATGTTAATCCAACCTTTCTGTTTACGACGAATTATGTCTTCTACGAGTATATACATTAGAAATACCTAAATCCACATTGATTATTTACTAAATAGGATTTAAATTATGCAGGAGAAAGAAGAAAAAGCGAAGTTCAAACTCGAATCTAAGGAGAAGTTAAAGGATGAGAAAAAGGAGAAGGGTAAAGATAAAGAAAAGGAAAAGGTAAAAGAAAAGGAAAAGGAGAAAGTTAAAGAAAAGGATAAAGATAAAAAGGATAAGAAATTAACGAAGGTGCCTTCGACAGTGACTTCGGGAATACCTTTTGAAGAAATATTTACATTAGGAGGTAAGTGTAATATTTTTATTTTGACGCGGCAATCGCTCAATCGTATACATAATTTGATTATTTGAATTTGTATTTTACGCTTTTGAACACGTATTCGACTTGATGAAAAGGAACTAACAAAGGTTACGATGAAGCAAAATAATCAGTTATTACTTCGTTACTAATATAATAACCGCAAAATTGTATTCGTTGGCTAGCATTCACGTCGGAGTATAGAAACGGGCTTATACAAATATTACACATGTATGTACATAATGGGTTGAAGGGTAGAAAAGGGACACAGGCTAATTATTTATTATAAATATTATTTCATTAAAGTATGTGTCCATTGAGAACTCTAGATGACAAGATGCTAATATACATAATGACTGCACATATGGCGATGTGGTTTAGGCGGTCACCTCGCCGCTTCTTATTGCGCTGAGCGTTGTGGGTTCGATCGCCACATGGGACAAGACTTTGTGTTACGACAATGTTATACCTACTTAAATATAAAAATATAATGAAGAGAAAAATAATAGAATAAGAAAATAAAAGGGAATAGAAAATAAAACTAGACTTGCATTCTTCTTTCATGAACTGAAATAAATAAATAAAATCCCAGATCCGCTCCGATCTCCGACGATCCGAAATAGATAAGTAATATAGGAACATACCTATCCATTCTTATACCTACTATAAACGCGCTTCTTCCAAGTTTCTTTATTATTAGGTTCATCTATGAACTACGCAAACATGAATACGTCTCTGACTATCGGATTAAGCCTAAATGGTTACCCATAACACCTATTACGGACACAATTCACCGGAATAATAATATCCTTTAGTAAATTATATATTTGTATTGTATATTCTTTTAAACTGTCCAACGTGCTCTCCGAGGCACGGAGGAGTCTCTATGTGTTAAGAATGGTCACCCATCCATAAACTGACGTGGCTAGGATTACTTCACTTTGGAATGTTCTAAACTACTCGGTAACCATTAGCCCCTTCCACCACCACTCATTTTCATTTGTAAACAAATAATGTGCCCTAAGTATGTTTTATAAGAAGCTACTTAAATGTGTATACATGATGTGTTTCTATACCTCAAAAGAAAAAAAAATGCAACCCTTATAGGATCACTTTGTTGTTAGTCTGTCTGTCAAGACTATTTATCTTGGAAAAGCATGGTGGTATCTATGGTGGTCCCTTAAAGCTGTAAAATAATCAAACTCCTAAGTTAACGTGAAAAAAGATAAGTCGTTTATGCCGCACAAAACGCATATTTGGACACTCTCAAGGGAATCCAAATTCATAGGGTAACTTCCCGTTGACCTATAACGCTGAAATTACAGGAAAAAATTTGAAAACTATCGTTTGTAAATAAATCATAAGAAATATAGTCTTTATTTAAAGTACGCAATCATTCATTGAGGTAAAATTTAATAATAATAATAGGAAAAAAGTAATAAAATATTTATAAAAAAGAAACAAAATATTACATGTCTATCTATCTAGTATGTTATCTTTTATCTGATTAGTATTTGAGCGATACATTTGAGCGTTACAACGTTTAAGATACTGCTTTGCTATCTTGGATTTAAAAGTAATTATATTGAGAAACTAAACAAACAAATAAAACACTTTATCAACTTGGTATGAGCGATCTATCGGATTGCTCAGCCTAGATTTCAATTTTGATTAAAATTTTCAACAACATAAATGGGATGTCAACAAGTTACCGAAACTGCTTTTATTTTGCACCCAAGACCTTAATTAATATTTAAAAAAATTAAACGAAGTTATTTTTAAAATGACACGTGTTTCATAAGTTACATCGCATAGAAATTTGTGATCAATATCAAGATACTTATAATTATAATTACTTACGTGCTATATGAGTGACAAGCTGCTTTATCTTTATTAAAAGTATATAACCTTATAACCGGGATATAAACTAATCTATTTACCCAAAAAAACCGATCGGTTTCGTACCTACCCATTTTTTTTATTTTTACGATTTTGTCATAAATAATGCAATAGAATTTTGTGTTAAACGAAGCTGTCTATATTCTTGATGTAAATGGCAATGATTCTTGTTTCGTAGTTTCTTTGGGTTAATAAAAATTTATAAAAAGCTAATTATAAAATTCTCATTGTAAAAAAATATAGGAATTCATTAGGACTAGAGGCCATCTTTTTTTTAAGTTTGTACTTATAAAATATATTGAAGTTCCGATTTATTTTATTTTTTAATGAAATAAAATAACATATTTTTTTTTATTTAATCTTTACCTCCGCAATGATTAAAATGTAACAACACTAAAATTAAAATCATAAAGCATAACTGTTTTAAGACATCTCGCACAAATAAAGACACGCGATTGTATTATTTGTAGAAATTTAAACTAAAATATGTCCCATTACATTCATTTAACTCAGTAGTATTAATTATTACTCATTTAAAAATCGGTTCACTTAAATGAGAAAATAAGATTTTTTTTTATTTTTTTTTATTAAAAAAGACAACTCCCGCATTAGGAATATATCCTGTGTCGCGGGGGACTTTACCAACATCCATGAAACGGACACAAAGAACACCCAGACTCAGAACAACAATTTGTGGATCACACAAAGTGTCGTCCCATGTGGGGTTTGAACCCACAACACTCGACGTAGCAGGAAGCGGCGTGGCGACCGCAAAGTTGCGTTCTTTAGTCACTGAAAGTCAGCTTCACCCGTCAAATGCACTTCTTACATTATTTTCACCATAATTTGCGCACGACAGAGCACAAATATTAGGGAATTTAAATGTAAACTCTAACTTGTTTAATAATGAAGCATATTATTCCATCAACGAATATATAAATGACCATTTTAATACTATTGACATAATTTGATTATTTTTACTATAAATTTTAATTATCTTTTATTATGTTTACTTAATTTGAGCTGAAATTTTTGATGACTTTAAATTATGTATACCTACTATTGATGACTTAGTTTATGTGAAATAATGATACTCTCTGAATATTTAAAGAATGTACCTAATATTGTGTATGCCTATTGGCGGGACATAGCTTGTACTTAATAAAATTGACATCTGTAACCACCTATGTATCACAGAATTAAATAAATAAATTAAATGAAACGGCACCATTCGCACTGATTCGGTGCGAAACGTCGCGAAAACACCGGCGCGGACACGTTCTTAAAGCTTTATGGCCTGCGGCCTTTGACTTATTTACGTAACTGATTTTTTCAGAGAATTTTCCTGGAATGAATGAATGACAGTGGTGAAGATGTTCTTTTGGTATCTTCTAAAAAAAGATGTGTAAAGATGTGTATAGTCGCCTGCGGTACCTGGCCCGTTCCCGGGCCTGGCGGGCCGGGAGAGTCCTAAACCTCTCCCGGTCCCGCTCCGCCGTCTCCTTCGCGAGCATAACTTGCTCGCAGAAGGAGACGGCAGAGTTCCACGCACTCTCGCTCCGCACGATAGCCGCAATCAGGCTATCGAGCGAGAGAACTCCCACTCCGATGGCCGCCACGAGGTCTCGCCTCTGCTCAACCCACGCCGGGCACTCTGCCAGCGTGTGAAGAGCCGTGTCCACGGTCTGGCCATCGCAGTGGTGGCACTCAGGCGTTGGCTCCTTGCGGATCAGACACAGGTGATTCCCGAAACATCCCTTCCCAGTGATCACCTGCGTCAATCGGTATGAGAGGGTCCCGTGACGCCTCTCGAGCCAATCCTCCATAACGGGTCTTATCGCCGCGATGACGGCGTGCCCGTCAACTCCCATACCTAAAACTTTGTTTGCCACATTTTCTTCATCCCTCCGCATGACATGTCCATACCAAGATAACCTATTACTTCTTAACTTTTCATTCAGTGGCGCTATTTTCAGACTCCCTCGTATATACTCATTCCTAACCTTGTCCATCTGATTCACACCACACATCCATCTCAGCATTCGCATTTCGGCTACGTTCAGGCGTCTCTCATCCGTTCTCTCAATGGGCCAACTTTCAGAACCATACAGGACGGCAGGTCTGATAATAGTTTTCTAAATTTGTCCCTTCAGTGTTAAGGGGAAACTGGGGTCACAAGTTGTTCCCGTTACCTGCCGCCTAATATGACTTGGTATATTAAAGATTATTAGGATCAAGATTATTACTTTCTGTCTACTATAATCCATTGAAAAGGTCCATGATGGACTTTTGTGCACTTTCATGTCCACTTTAATACACTCAACAGATTTTTACGAGGAATGGATCTTTTAGGATATACTAGTTTCGAAAAATCCGCCCACGTGTATATCGGTTATTATCGCTGTAAAAAGTAGCCTATGTTACTAATGTAGCATTCCATTGGTAAAAGAATTTTTAAAATCGGTTTAGTGGTTTAGGCGTTTAAGTTTAACAAATAAACAAACTCACTTTCACATTTGTAATATAAGTATGGATGTAAACAATTCTTTCAAACTTAAATTCTTTTCTTTCAATCAAATAATTTAAAGGTATTTTAATTACCAGAAGATGGAATTTCTGGCTAACAATGTACTTAGTTATTTCTTCTCACTACCAACACTTGCATAATTCCTAAAAGTTGGTGTTCATAATGTCTGTGGTAGCATTCTTTTATGCTGCGCAATTTCCTATCATTGAAAACAACGCCAATTATAATCTGTTTCAATTTTACTGAAAATCGTTTGTATTTGTATCTTTTGATGCCATTTGCACAAACCAATCAATATTAAATAGCTATTACAACTTTCCGTGATAGTCCGTGTAGTGACGGATTAAGAATACGGAATGTCACTACCCTAATTCATCCCGTGGGTGTCGTAAGAGCCGACTAAGGGCGCAAAACAACGCGGGACACCAGCACTGCAAAAAGAAAGAAAAGTTGACACAAACCCTATACCAACCCGTCTAGCCAGCCTGGTATAGTAAGCGAAAACCTCCTTTCTAAGGATATAAGGCATATATGTCCAGCAGTGGACTATTAAAGGCTGTTG